TTCTGCTGGCATTCATAGGGTCTACCAGACTGGGGTCACTTCTGACCCTTACAGGATCCCAACTCACCCAGGAGTTTTAGGTGTGACCCGTGCTCTGCTGCTGACTCTGGTCTAAGGTTTCTGGCTCCCACGCTGCCGGGGCTGCCCCATGTTTCACGGGTTTCCTGCTGGATTCCCCACTTTCATTTTAGTTCATACATTTGAACATAATTTTTCCTTTGGGAAGATTTCCTTTATTTGCTAAAGACTATCAAAATACTGTGTTATATAAAACAACATAACCCAATACTCTTGTTTATGATGTTCCTTCATATCAAAAGGGCCCTTCAGACTATTTAGTTTTCTCAGACAGGTGGAGGTGAACGTCTAGGCAATATTTTCCAATTTCCTTCCTTCCTTCCTTCCTTCCTTCCTTCCTTCCTTCCTTCCTTCCCTCCTTCCTTTTTTTCTTTCACTCTTCTCCTAACTTTTTTTAAAGTTATAATCCCTGGGCTGTGAGTCCTCTTTCCTCAATAATATTCCTGTGTAACAACAATAGTTAACAACAACACACACACTATTCCCTTAATATTTACTATCTGCTACGAGTCTACTTTATATACATTATTTTGTTTGGTATTCACAGATTCCTACTACATAATTGAATTAGGGAGACTCTGAACTTGTAGAGGACACGTGGTTAATGGGCTAAGCCCAGGTTTGTGCCCTTGTCATCCTTTAAATCCCTGCTCCTAACCACAGTGTCATGTGCCCTCCCCTGGGGGCCTCTTTACTTGTTCTGCTCAATGAGAATTGTCCCCTCATAGCACAGGAGCACTTGCCCAGCGGCAGCCTGACTCAGAATGACGTATGTGTCCTAGTAAATGGGCTTCTGTCAGTAGGAAATGGTTGGTTTCCATGAAATATAGAAAGTCACTTGTCCAAGATAGTAGCAGAGGTCAGTACCTGGCACTCCCAAGTCTAATTGCACATCTCCTCACCCAATAAATAGCTTCAAGCTTACTTGTCACACCATTAATTTCTGTGTTAGCACTAGGTTGGGAGCCAACAGGGAGTTGGAATTGATGGTTTTACCTGCGTGTTTTATATATTGACCATCTTTCTGCCTTTTCTGTTGTCAAAATTGCACTAGAGCCAAGCTCAGGTTTTTCTTGCTGCTTAAGGGAAGTCGGTGAGGTCAACGGCAGACGCTACCGCCCTTCCCTTCCCTTCCCGATAAACATAAACCTGATTGAATCTCACACCCAGACTTCCTAGCAGCAAAGAGCAGGGGTTGTTCTGAGCTCCAAGCAGGAGCACACACACACAAAAAAAAGACATTTAAACAAAAAGCTTTCTTTGGAGTTTCTGATTAGGTGATGGCAGGCTTGGGTCTCTCCCTCAGACTGGCCTGGGTGTGTCCCCTGGCTGTGCTCAGTGGAAGTCTGAGTGTGCTTCTGAGCCGCTGCAGGCAGGAGCAGGTGAGGAATGCCTGAGATCTGAGTGACTCCTTAGAAAGTCACAGAGGGTGAGGAGGAGGGGAAAAGCCAGGCAGCACAGCTACTCCCTGTTTGCTGTGTTCTAGGCACCGTCCGGAAAGCTTTATATTCCTGTCTCATTTAATCCTTACAATCTTCTATGGTGGAAGAGGCTGATGTTATAAATCAGGCTGATGTTATTGTGCTGATGTTATAAATAAGGAAACTGGGTCTAATAATCACCAAGAAACTTCCAGAGTTACCCAGCTGTACATTATAATGCTGGATTAGAACCCAGGCTAAAGACACAACCTGGGGGTTCAATTGCATTCTTATCCTGATACGTGTAAAGCTGTTCTTCTTTGAGTGACGGAAATAGGAGAGTTTTACTTTTGGTGTCTGTTATCATGAAACTGTTTTGTCAATTCAAATGGCATTCATTATAGGGGAAATAATTCTTTTGAAAAAAAACCTCTCAAACATTGATTCATCTCTTGGCCAATACATTTTTTAGGAGACTGAAAGGAAACTCCTGTAAGTGATATTTCATGGAACACACTTGCATTCATTTAGTATTTACACTGTACCCAGTATGTACTGCTTTGGGGGGGGTACTGAGTTAGGGGTTAGATTCTAACTTTGAAATAATACTGTGCTTCTCCATCCAATGAGCGTAATTCAGAATGCTTGCCTCTAGAGGGCGATGCTTCACTGTGGCGCACCAATTACTAACCAGTGGGACAGTACCTAGATTAAAAGTTCTACCTAAATTGAGAGAGAAAAATAGATCACACTTATGTAAGTACTCAGACCTTTGATCACATAGAAAAGCTAAAGGAATAAAACAAGTTGCCTGAAATGTTTTTCATTAATCTAAAAGGTATCTTTTTGCCTCCTTTTTAATACCCATGAGGCAGATCTGGTGGGGAAATGTGGAACATTCTGATAGCACTTCTTCTTTTCAAGATACAGAAAAAAAAATTATTGAGACAATATATGCAAAGTGAAATAATTTATGTAAACTTAAAGCTTTTGTGTGGGCAAAGAATAATTAAACCCACTGCAAGGAAATACTTTCTGGCAACAAAAAAGAAAATGTTTATTCTGATACTTAGCAATTTTAAGGGTAGTGATACCTACCATATCCTATAATTCCAAGCACACCAATCGCGAAAATCCAGAAGAGGAGTCCAACTATGTACCTCATGAGTATCACAATTATCCAACTAAGGAACATGGCGATAACCAGGCCACTGGAGGAAAAAGCCCACAGTGAGCACAGAGGTCAAGTGCACTGAGCACAGCATACTGAAAACATCAAGACAACACGCTTTTTATATTGAAAATGATTCTCAGACTGTTTTATTTTACTTGACTCTAAAAACATTTATAATGTTAAAAGTATACATGGTCTACGTTAAGATTTTGTATAAAAGAGTAGCCTGTCAGGGGCTACCCCAGGCGTCTTTGGGCGCCTAGGATAAATACAAGTCCAGTGCCAGTCACTGTTCTAGGAAAAATACAACTCTCCCAAACCTGCAGTTTTGATCTATCTGCCCCGGTTACCGTGTCCTATTTTTTTCCTTCATACCTATCTACTAAATGATAAATCGTAAAATACATTCACGATGAATTTGATCTGTTCTATGCACCTGGTAACTAGTGGGAACCCTCTCTGATATGGCTGCATCAGAAAGGCAAGGAAAATAACTGGGCATTCTCTGAACCCATGACTTTGCAGCCATTTCACTGTAGTCCAATTATCTCTAGCAGCCTGTGATGCCTGTCATTAGCAGACATCCATTTCACCACCCCTATGATCTGTGGGCTACTTTTTTTCCAGCCAGCGTAAGTCTTCTGAGTCTTCCGGGCCCTGTGGTGTCATCAAGTAATTACTAATAGCATGACTACTTTCTGTCTGTTTTAATTTCTTCCTGGAGTTTGACTGAGGTGCTAAAGAAGCTGGTTTCCCCCCCACCCACATGCCCAGGGTAAAGTCGTGGAGTCTTTTCATGTAATTTTCTCAAAGAGAACTCATTAGGATTGAAAACTTGGCCAACTCTTCTATTACGAACTGACACTTCTGGTGCTACCTGTAAGTTTTCAAACATAGCAACAGACAGAGCCTGGTACAATTGTTGAGTTCATTGTCTTAAGTGTTATGTTTTTGTTTTTGTTTTCAAAAAATTCAATAATTACTGTCACTAGACAGATAACAGCACAGTATCCAGGTCCACAGTCTTACTAAACTAAAGCTTTTTACTTCAGAAGCCATTCTCTTAAAATCAGAAGCAGGTTAATGCTTAAACACTCAATATGGCTGAGAGATTATTCTATGGCATAATCCAAAGGGGATGAATATTCAGAAAGATTAGAGGGGAGGGGAAAAAAAGGAAATAGATTGATTTTTGTCTTTTGATTCTGTGTGTTCTAAATTCTTACATAAAAATCCTTACAGAATAAACTAAGTCCCAGCATGTCAGTGCTTTGGCTTTATATTTATAAAGTAGATCAGAGCAGAAGGGTGAAAATAGAGGGAGTCATTGATGGTCTGGTGGATGAGTGGTGCTCTGGGGGGAGGTTTCAGTGTGCGTTGGGAGTAGTTGGGCTGGAGAGTCTGTCATAATGTGGATTTGTGCAGGTCAGAGTGAAAAGCCAAATGAAGAAGAAACTTCAGAATTATCTAGTAATGTCTGGGCCTGACAATAGGAGTCTTAGTTGATTTATTATTTATTTTTGAGACAGAGTGTCACTTTTTGCCCTAGGTAGAGTTTCACGACATCATAGCTCATAGCAACCTCAAACTCTTGGGCTCTAGGAATCCTCTTTGCCTCAGTCTCCCAAGGAGTCGGGACTATACATGTACAACACAATGCCTGGCTAGTTTTTCTATTTTTAGTAGACACAAGATCTCCCTCTTGCTTAGGCTGGTCTTGAACTCCTGAGCTCAAGCATTCCACTTGCCTCAGCCTCCCAGAGTGCTAGGATTACAGGCGTGAGCCACTGGACCCAGCTGGGAGTATCAGTTAAAATACTGTCAAGTATAACCTACAACCTCTGCTGGAGAGAAATCCTAACACACTGAAAAGAATTACTGTAATTATTCAAGACAAAGCATCAGAAAGAATAAAATCTCATAAGATCTAATTTTAAAGCTCTAAAAATTCCTAATATTTCACACATAACTTTGACTTTATAAGCACGATATATAAGCACATCTACCTTTTTCCCTATGTGTATTTATAACTATTCTTTTTTTTTTTTTTTTTTTTGGACCCTGGTTCTCTGCTGGTTGGAATGATAGAATGTTATGGCACAGTCATGGTTCACTGCAGCCTCAAATTCCTGGGCTCAAGTGATCGTCCTCCCTCAACCTTCCAAATAGCCAGGATCATAGGCATGAGCTGCTCTGCCTAGCTCTATAAATGTTCCTTGAGCTCACATTTCTGTGTGCCTCCTATATTTCAAAGAACCATACTGGAGTAAGGAAAATAAAGATGAGTAGTACACAGTTACCATCATGAACAGTTCATAGTCTATCAGAGGGAAAGGGATAGCTAAATAAAATATAGAATGGCAGGTGCTATACGGAAGATGGGTGTGTATGCCCAGGTGTGTAGAAATACACACACACAACAGGTATGAAGAATGCAGAGGAAGAAGTGATCAGCTATCTCTGGGACGATAACAAAGGTTCCATAAGTGACACTAAAGGTGATTTCAAAGGAAGAAATGAAGAGGATATGCCAGACAGGAAACAGGATGTGTAAAAACATGAGATTTGGCAGTCTAAGGATGGGCACATATATGATTAAAATATAGGGTTTTCAAGAAACGTGAGTGAAGATAACAACTTAGGGACTTAGTTGGGGTCAGGTTATAAAGGGCTTTAGAAATATCCAAATAAAGTTTCACTTTATTTTTTGATTACAAGGGGACCCCAGAAGCTTTTAAACACTAGGTGGTGACACATGAACCAGATAGTAAAACTGTCTTTGATACATTAGTTATATTTACCCACTCCAGTAGAGTGACTGCATTTCTTTAACGTTCTAGGAATATAAAACTTAACTATAAAATTCATTTATGTATAACATACATGGTTATGTAGCTTCTAATAACTACCATGACTTCTGGTGATAACGATCACATTATTATATGGAAGAGATGCATTTAAAAATAACAATGATCTTTTGGAAGTCAAGAGAGGGACAATTTAAAAAAAAAAAAGAACTAGTGAAATAACACCGTGCCTATTGTAACAGGTGACAAGAAGCACAGGTGAACTGCAGATACAGAAATCCTGCAGGTTCTCCCCAACATGATTTGAAGTACTTCCCCAAGAACATTTTTATTTGTAATTTAATGACTAAAATAAAAGTATACATTCTTAGAAATTTTTGCTAATAGTGGGCACATTTTCAAACATCTTCTCCCCATCTGTATCCCAACTGAAAAAAGAATATGGCAGGAACTGAGATCTGAATCAACCTTTTATTCTTGAATAAACATAGGGAATTTGGAGAAAGAGTTCTACAGAGATAAAATAGGTATGGGGTTGGAGAAGAAAGATCTTTTTGTTTTCACTTACGTGAGAATCCAATACCAAGTCAGTGAATAATCTTGAAACACTTTCAACCCAAGTTTCCTTGCATTAAGGATTTCATTTATTTGTCTGAATTCAAAGAAGGAAAAAAAATCAATTATTTTTGGACTACCACTAAACAGAACTGTTCCCGTTGTGATCAAAGCATGTTTTTAGAAGCCACCTGTCAGTAGTGACTCTTTTCCTGGCCACAATACACAAAATGTCACTTCAGTAAAGGAGCAAAGGTAGTTATAGCTGCACACACAGGGGACATGGTTTTCAGGAACGGTGAACAGAACCTTTTCCACTGTAAGCAACATGCCCTCAATATTGTAGAAGCCTTACTGTATAAAATGAATTAAGTGATAAGATCAGCTTTTAACTTATAATCCGTTAAGTCAAGAACAAACATAATCTTTAATTCCTCTTGCTAACCTCTGACAGCCCTGTAGCAGAAAGGTGTCCAGGAGTCCACAACGAGAACACATAGCTTTAGCGTCCAGGCTGGTGAATTATGAGGATGGACGCCCTTATATACCTGCAATAGCGTCAGGCCCTCCTCAGTACCCTAATTGTGACAGCTCTCTTTTCCCCAGAGTAACCACCATTCTGCCTTTTGCAATAATAATTTCCCAAGTTTTCTTTTCAGTTTTACCATTTACATCACATCACAGGGCAACTGGATTTAATTCTGTGTGTTTTTGAATTTTATATCAATGGGATATAAAGACAATCTGTGTTATTGTCTTGTGATTTCTTTCACACGGTTTTACATTTCTGAAATTCACCCATGTTACTATTACATTCTAAATATGCAGGAGTTACACCATACAGCTTGTACTGCTAACATCTTTCAAGAAAGAGAAATTTTTAGAGTATCTTTATTTATTTAATTTTTAATTCACCAACGTGAGCAACACAATGATACTCTGGGTACATTCGTCTGTGCACCCAGGTATGTGTGCGTGTGCACACACAGGGAGGGACGCGCCTCTGTAACACGGGTCGCCACAGGGGTGCCCCCAGGGCATGGTCAACTTCCTGCTCTGGAGCTATACAGAGAAATCTGACACCAGCACTAAGAGGATCCCTTCTGTCACACTTCTATACCTGCTGATGAAGAAAGAGTTAACCACTCTGAAAAGCCGGTTGACTCTGGTTTCCTCTTCTTTACATGCTTTTCTTAATGAATATGTACAAAGTTCTCGGATCTGTAGTGACATGTATATTTCCTCAGAACACGTCATTCTCCCTCTGTACCCCTACCCCTTCACCTAACGGGAGCTCTAGTCTTCGGTAGGATAACGGGAGGCATTAAGAATGGAAACAAACATACTTCACAGCGTCCTTGAGTTCCGTGACATTTCTCATCCTTCCATTTCCATCTTCAAACAGCACGTGATCTCCTATTGTTAAGCTGCCATTTGTAAAAGAGAAGTCGGGTAAGCATCTCTGGAGAACTGTGAAAATAACGTGACAGCAGTTACTTCCTCCTCCTTCTTTCAAGGTGTCCTCCCTTTTTTAAGCTTTCCGATGAACTACGATCAAATTCTTGCTGGACATGCACACTGCTCAGCGTGGGCGGCTCATCACCCATCACCTGATGAGCTGAACATTTTCTGAGGGTTCTAAGGCTGGGATAGGAAGAAGCTCTGATCGCGATCTGAAGCTACATTCTAAACTTCGTTATTTTAGATGTGATATGTTCACAGGTGAGAAGCACAGCAGAGGTTTTGAGAGTAACATTGATACATGTCACTCGTGGTAAACGCATTTTAATGAGAAGGTCACATGAATTGTATGAAGGAATGAGGTTAGTTTTATTTTAAAGAAGAAAAAACTTTAGGTGCTCTAAAACAAACCCTGAAAATTGGACATTAGTGAATAATTCCTTGGGGAAGACGTAAGCTCAAACGCAGGCTACTAAAACAACTATGTTTATGTGTCTGAATTCTTCATAATTTATCTCTCAGCTTTGTCATTTAGTGTTTACTCGGAGGGGTTGGAAATAGAAATTCCAAGGCTATTAAAAGAGGCCTACACTTTGAAGACTAATATATGTTCTGAGATTATTCCATTATTAAGGGGAATCTTTACCTCTTTACAAATCTATTACTAAAAATATTTTAAAGCCACAAATCTACTACTAAAAATATTTTAAAACCAATTTCAAATGAAAACATAGATAATTATAAATGGATCACTTTCATATTTTTTTTTGTAAGAAGCATTGGCGATTTTTGTGAGTGCATATGGAGTTTAAACTCAAAAATATTAAAGTAGTTGATATGGGGTAAAGATATATGTGTCTTTACAAAGTTTTGTCTGACTTTCCTGACTTGAAATCAAGTCTTGTCTGCCCCTCTCCCTTCTGCTGCACTTAGCTTACGGATGATTCCTTTATTTTTTTTTTTTTTCCCCAGTGTTAATAAATAGCTTTATTTGCCTTGTACAGCATTGATTTTCTTACATTCTCAATTAATTTTCCATTAAAGTGCTGGAAATTTTCTAAATTACAATAACACTTTAAAAGAAATCAGAATATGATTCCTTTAGTGCCCACCCACCTTCCTCCTGCTCTTCCCTCCCCTCCTGCGGCAAATTTGACACTTGTCCAGCTGCTCACTCCAACCAGATGTCTGCCCCTACCACTCTGTGGAAATTGTCCTCCCAGTAATCCCAGTGATCCCTCAATTGTCAAAACCTTTGGATAGTTTTTAATCTTCATCTTGCTTGAACTCATTACCTAGCACAACACTTGGCAGATAGTAGAACACTTATTCTGTGCCATTGAACGAGTTCAGCTTTCTGATCCTTTGACATGTAGACACCACCTGCCTTCCTGAAACTCTTTTTCCTTGACTCATATGGCCAGATTTTCTCCTGCCCTCCCTTCTGTCTTTCTGGGCACTCTTTTCCTCCCACCTTTAACATCCCCGACCTTGTGTTATTTTTGCACAATCTTATCAACTCTCTTTGCTTTTGTTACTAAATGTGTTCAGCACATATTTGGGAAGTGGAGAAAATATGAAAGGAAATGTAAGACCATATGTGGTCCTCCCACCACCCACAGCAAAATGACCTTTTGGTGAACTTCCTTCCAGTCTTTCTTTTCTTTTTTTTTCCATATAGGACATGAAGAATTTTCCCTTGTGACTTTCTTTTAATGTTACTTATTTCTTTTTATAAACTTTTATTGAGTGCATTTTATTCACTGCATACTATTCCATTCAGGACTAAACTTAATGTTCTACTAGGAGGAACACAAGTCGATTGCCAGGCTGACTTCCAGGCCCCTCTCACTGGATGGTAAAAGACATGCCTTATTTACTTTGATAACATCTGCAATGTGTGTTTATTGTAGGGCTTAACAAGACCACACCTGTAAGGTAGGGACCATGTCTTGCACCTGTTATGTCTTTGGTGACTAATGATCGATTTTCACACTTTTACATAAAACATGGGTGTTGCTACAGGTATTTCCTTATTGAGGTGGCTTCCTGTGCATGCTGCTGCTTGTAGGACCTACATCTTTGCTTCAGGTCTTTTATAACCTAGAGGAGAGTGATGAGAGCATTTAAGACACATGGTTGCCATTGAGGTGGCAACCTCAATGGTATGTGACTTTCTACTCAACATGATGACTACTGCCTTTCTTCCATTTTTTTAAAAAAGAAACCCATACATTGTGGAAAAAAATGGATAGAAAAAAAGAAAGAAAGAAGAGGAGAAACTGCCCACAGGTGGCCATTCCCCAACCTACCACTTAACATTATCATACATTTCTTTCCAAGCTTTTTCTTTGAATACGTGTTTTTTTTTATATTATGTTAACTTATTCATGCTTACCATTATAAGCTTATAAGAGTTTATGTTTTATTTAACATTATAATATACACATGCATATTACTCTAATAATTCTACAACCCATAATCGACCACCTCCTTAAGTTGACCCAATTGTCACTGGCCACACATGCACCACATGTGCTCAATGGAAGTCCCTTATTTTGGCCACCTCTCTGTTGACCCATTTGTTACAGTCCCTTGGGTGGTAAACTTCTTTATTTCATATGTGGGTACATTATAATTGCTTTTATATAGTAAAAGCTCTTCTGTATTTCATACGTGGGTACATCATAATTGCTTTAAGCATTCTCTTGCTATCACCATCAGACAGTTATGTGTTTCCTTTCTCTTTTCTTTTTATTTGGAGGGGTGGGGAGTTACTTTAAAATTTAAATAAACATCATGATGGACATTTTTACATAAAGTTTTTTCTCTGTGGTAGCTTTAAAACCATAAGACAGAAAAATGAGTGATTACTTTATTTTCTTCTAAACCGTATCACCTTACAGCAACTTTATAACTTTAAAGAAATAAACAATTGATCTGTTCATATGATATATAAACATTTAAAAGTTTAAGTAATAAAGAAAAGCCTCTGTTTCATTCCTATTCCCCAGGCAATTTCTGAGGGAACTTTTTGACTAAATTCAGGAATGGGTGTGTCTGATTGTGTCTTTGTGTGTGCTTACATGTGCTGCTAAAGCACCAAATAATCCAACTGAGCTTTTAAAAATCAGTGTTCAATCTTGTGATTGTATCGTTATGCAGCAAAAGCCCAAAACTCACAGAGCTCCTGGGGAGCCATCCCTGGCAGAAGCCAAGAGATGGACTTCACCTTTAACTCTTCCTGATCAACTCTGGGACCTGGAGCCAGTCACAGGACCATTGTTGGCCCCAGGTACAGCAACTGTGAATTAAGGCAACTTAATTACAAATTTTCTCAGTAGATTCCTTGTTTCTAACATAAAATATTCACCACTTACAAGGTTTGCTTGGGTAAACAGCTGCTGGACAATCATCATCCAGGATGACTTGTGGGAGACTCTGAAACAAAGAAAAGAACATCAGCATCTCAAAGGGTGTGTGCTGACTAGGCTAAGCTCAGTAGGAAATGTTCCTGGCTGGGGTGTGGCTCCCACCTGTCATCCCAGCACCTGGGAGCCAAGGCCGGTGGATCACCTAAGCTCAGGAGTTTGAGACCAGCCTGCACAGGAGCCAGATCCCAGTCTCTACTAAAAATAGGAAAACCAGCCAGGCATGGTGTCAGGCACGTGGTCTCAGCTACATGGGAGGCTGAGGTAAGATCACTTGAGCCCAGGTTTGAGGTTGCTGTGAGTTATGAAGACTCCATGGCTCTCTACCCAGGGCGACAGAGTGAGGCTCTGTCTCAAAGAAAAAAAAAATTAAACAAACAACAAAAAAAGAAAATGTCGTTCTTTATAAGTTTAACTCCAGAAGAATCTCATTATTCCTGATAATTTCCCCTAATGCCAGTCATTATAAGATTAGTACGTGCACATTTGCTTGACAAATACTCTTAAATATCATAGCCATAATTCAATCAAATCAACAATAACAAGGCCAAACCCTTTGAAAACAAGGCATATGGTGGAAGGAGTGTGTCTTTGTTTTAGCCACATACTCAGTCTCCAATCTTTCATTTTTTTTTCCTGGAAAAAACAGCATCTTCTCAAATTTGGAAACCATTAAGATTATTTAACATAATGACAATTCAGAATTCCCTTACAAATCTCAAACCTAGGTAGGAGTCTGCGGTTTTTAAATGTGTTCTTATCAAACTGGTTTGGAAGGAATTTTGTACTTGTTATAAAGTAGCTGTGGGATTTCATTGTCATGTTAATAACATGATAGCTGCAAATGACCTTAACTCCTGGCTCTAGACAGCAAAAGATGTCCCTAAGCAGAGAATCGGTTGGTGTCATGGAAGAGTTGAAATTTAACTTACCAGAACCAACAGGCTTTCTTGAACATCCCACATCTACAAAATTATATGCTAGATAGTGGTCTGCATGGTTTTGTGCATTTGTATTTTAATGGAATGGTGCTTTTAGCAATCATTTCCTAGAAGATTTGGGAGTTTGTCCAGTAATAAATGCTTGTTACCATTGAGACTGAAATGTCCAGCCCCTCTGTCTTTTTAAGCTTAAACACACACATACCTTCACAGGCTTAGCACCAGCCTTGCAGAATGGACTGTAATCTTCCCAGAAGCGTTTGTCTCTCTTGTACAAAATTTGCATCTTCACATAGGTTAAAAATTTATCTGGGCACTTGGAGACACAGATCTGAACAGGAACACAGGGATGGGAATGGAATTGAGAAGAAGAAACCAAGTAACCAAGTGAGCATCTGTAAGACCAGACTTCTAAATTATCCACCACAGTTAACAGCAGAGTCTATTTCCATCTCAGAAACCCAAATCCGTTCTCTAGTTTTACTGAGAAAAAGGACATTTCATGTACTAGCTACCAATCTCTACTCTTTGCCCTTGACATTAATGTTGTGTTCAAACAAGATACGGTTCAGTGATAGATTTATTTTTAAGTTTTATTTGGAGATAATTGTAGATCCCCATGCAGTCATGAGAAATCACAGAGACTGCACACACTTTTCACTCAATTTCCCTCCATGGTAATGAATTCCATAACTGTGACTCAATATCACAACCAGGAAATTGATAGTGTTACCACCATAGTTTAGAGGTCTGTCCCCCCATAATTCATGTTGAAATTTGATCCCCAGTGTTGGAGGTGGGGCCTGTGGGAGCAGATTCTTCATGGGGGCTCAGTGCCACCTTCCTGGTAGTGAGGGAGTCCTCAGTCTATCAGTGAAACTGCCCTTGCAAATGGATGCGGGGGTGCAAGGTGAGAGCGGGAGTAAGGACCCCAAAGCTCTGTGAAGGAACAGGGTAGCTAAACTAGTAACAATCAGCCACTATCCCCTTGTTTGCGTCTCTACAATTGCTACACTAGAGGGCACACGTGCTATCCATAAAGATTCTTAACTGTTCTCCATAAATAGCATCACCTGTTCAGAACCAAGGGCTAGTTTTTGCGATCCCTTCCAGGTCCTGCATGCTGGTGGATTGACCCACCTACCAGGTCAACACACTGACACAACTGGTCTCAGACCCCCCTCAAGGAGCTGCAGTCCAGAAACTGACCCCACCAGCACCAGACGGCAGCCCACACAAGAGAAGTGACGATGGTTCAGTCCTGCAATTAGCCAGTTGGCCCACCCTGACTGCCTAACCTCTGCCCACCAAACTGTCTTTAAAAACTCCGTCTTCCCAGTTCTCAGGGAGGTGGATTTGAGAAATTTCTCCTGTCTCCCTGCTTAGCACTATGCAGAATAAACTCTGGGCTGTGAACCCTGAGTCTCTGGATGTTGGCTTTCTCCTGGGCAGCGGGCAGATAGATGAACCTGGCTGGGTGGCAAGAGTAGTTGCCAAGAAAGCTGGTTGTTACAAAGAAGCCGGCACCGCCTGCCCTGCTCTCATTTGCTTTCTTGCCTGTGATCACTGCCCATGCCGGCGACTCCTCAACTTTCCCCCGTGAGCGGGAGCAGCCTGAGGAACCACACGCCAAACAACCTCTTTTCTTTATAAATTGCCCAGCTTCAGGTAATCCTTTACAGTGACAATCTCCTAGCCTTATTCAGGTTTCATCAGTTTTACACCTGCTCACTTGTGAGCGCTTGTGTATGTGTGCAGTTCGATGCATTTATATCACAGGTATGGAGCTGGGTCACCACTGCCGCAGGGCAATTATGGACTCTTAATGAAACACTTTGTGATTTTCTGAATTGGAAGATAAGAGTATAATTCAAGATTATTTTTGCCTGTGTAGCTTGTACATATTCAGGACTAGACTCTCAATTCCTTTCCCATATATGAATAAGAAGGTGATTTAAAATGCCCTGAATATTGACAATTCAATGCTGCTAAGAATTATCAGGGAATACTCAACAACAATTCTCAAAATGTAATTGGGGTTTTATCACCATAAGAAATGAACACAATTACGGCAATTTGCCACAGTTAATCATTATTATAGTCTTTTACCAATACCCTCTAGATGTGGGAAGAGAGGTCATCTCTGCAATTATTTTACGTTAATAAACTTTGGAGCCTTTCAGTGCCAAGCAGGATCGCTGGGCGAGCCCATGGAACCACTGCAGAAGTAACTGAAATCCAATTAGCAGCTCCACAGACAGAAAGCAAATTTGGGGAAGACGTACTCTTCTGAATTTGCTTTTGTTTATATTTAAAAAACACAGATTAAGCCATGTGAGCTGCAGTCAGCCTGAAAACTTTCTACATCAGGTTCAGGTGTTCCTCATGAACCCTTTTTTCATCCTGACTCCCCTCACCTCTCTTTCACGCTCTGGAAGTTCTCCTCACCAGCCCAGCCCGGAGCAGCCGTACCCCACCGGCAGTTAGGGAAAAACTCCGGCGCTGAGCTGGCAGCTGTTTTCTATCTCCTGGGTCATGTTCCTGCTGCACACGAGGCATTTGGCACTGACCCCACAGCCAAGTGAGCAGGTGACTAACTAAATGGATGCCTCAAATGTCAAAGTCAGTAATGCCTTGTAGCAGCAACCGTCCAGTGCCTTCTAAAAGTTTTGACAAGGTAAATAACCCCACCACACGTTCACACCTCTCTCATACTTCTGAGAAAGTATTTTCTCTCTCATCCACACAGGAGCATACACACACACACACTCATCCACCACTGAAGGAAATGTTGGAGGTCTCACAGTATCTTTCTTAAAAAGCGGAAGAACTGTGTAGGATATTCACAGCAACCAACACACCTATGTTTTTTGGAAGAAACTTGAGGTTATCAAAACAAACATCAAAACTTTCACTCTTATCCAAGCTGAATAAACCATGAAAATATTAAGGAGAGATTTTACAGACATTGACAGTTTGCTCAGAGGACAGTCACAGACAACTGCCTCCTCTATCGGATGCACTGAGTGAATTTATACAGGTGAGTGGGGAAAGTCCCAAGTCTTCTGCAGGCTTTAACTGATGGTAGGAGCTACTGAGTTGGGACAGGCACGATTTCTGCATTTATAAACACACACACACACACACACACACACACTGCATACCACAAAAGCGCTGTGCATGCAACGCACAAAAGAAAGTAATTAAAATGGTAAAAGGTGGTTCGTTAAAGAAAATCACATTAAATTTCATCCCAGACACGAATGAGCTGTTAAAAAACAATATAGCAACTGCTCTTTATTTTATCCCTCTATCAGACCAATTTGTTCACTGCAAATAGGGTGCTGATTAGTAGCAATCAACATAATAATTAGCCAAAATGAAGGTCACATTGAGGTTGGGTATTCTAACTGAGCACAGTCTGTCCTTTAAAAGCCTGTGACACATGTCTGGGCCATGCTGGCAGTTGACAAAAACATAATGCATAAAAATACGGCTCAGATCAGGAGACAGCATCATTGCCTGGCAGACGAAATGCAATTCTGCGTTGTTGGAAGCTAAAATATATTCTGACTCAGTCCCGATTCTCTGTGCGTGACAAAGGGAACCATGAGTATAGTTCTGTATTACTATTTTTATATCAGTTATTCAAATAGGTTTAATACTCTATTACAAATTAGAATTTGATGGCTGGGAGAGTGAGTTACATTGAAGGTTAAAATACTACATTTGCTATGAAGAAAGGATGATCTAGTTATAAAACAATAAAAAACATAATATGTAAGTATTTTTCTTTTTTGATTTTATCATCAGGAATGATGGACTTGTATGGAATAGTGAAAAAAGTCTGGAACTTAAAGTCAGAAGATATTCAATCTCTCATTCATCTGTTCATTCATTTAATAAATATTTACCAATCACCTATTCCAGGCACTGGGGACACAACAGAAAAAAAAAATTAAAAATTCTTGCTCTCAAGCAGTTCATCTTCTAAGTAGGGGGAGTCAGATAACAAATAATAAGAAAATAAAATGTTTGTTCTAAAATGGTAATAAATGGTAATGAATAAGATGATATAACAACATTAAAAAAAAAAAAGACTAGAAAAGAGGCTGGAGCTAGAGTAGTGGCCAGGTGGGATTTCAATTTTAAATAGATATCAGGCAGGCTACACCAGGAAGGAAACATTTGCAGAAAGACTTGAAAAGGATTACCCAGCCAGAAGTCACCTGGAGGGGGAGCTTCAAAACAGTATGGCCCTTGAGAGACACACTTTCCAGTGCTCACGGAATGGTGTGGCCTGAAGGCTAGTGGACAGAAACAGCCTCCTCCCAGGTGGCTAAGCAAAGGGTCACAGGATGAGATGGATGAGGGAGCCCCTCTCAGAGAACACAGCTGAGGCTGAATGAAGTACGGCCCTTCACGGGCATGCCCCAGACACTGCCGGGGATTTACCATGCCCCCCTGTCTGAATGGAGCTTGTATTCTAATTCCCCTACTTCTGCTACCCACTGTACAGTTAGCATCAAGACCCGGTGAACAGAACTGTGCGTCATCCACAGATCTGAGACTTTGAGTTAAAAACAGTACTCCATGGGCCTCTGGGCTCTCCTGCGGGAGGAGAGTGCTGTGTTCTGGAGGCCAGAGCGGTAGACTTCACAAGACATAATGAGCTGTCACTGAGGGTTGTGCGTCTTGTTCCACTTGTCCCACGGTATAGAAAAGGCTGCTCAGCCTGATTCCTTCTCTTTCACCCAGGTGTGATCATCTAAACCTAGTTGGTGTCTGTGGCATTGAGCAGAAATGTGATGCGTGACCCTTCTGAGGCAAGGCAGAAGACAGGGGTGCTTCATCCATCCCCACCTATGCATTCTGGTAGCTGGATGCAGGTGGCAAGGAGCACATAAGGAACGGCAGAGTCGCTACAGCAGTGTTTCTCAACCTTCCTAATACTGCGATCCTTTAATACAGTTCCTGTGGGTCGCGACCCACAGGTTGAGAACTGCTGCACTAGAGGAAAGGAGTCTGGGGGCAGAGCAGCCCCTGACCACAGAGTCCTGCTGTGAGCTGATACATGGTCAAAAATAAATGAGATGTATTGAGTCACTGAAAAACTGGGGCTTCTTAGCTACAGCATCTAGCTTACCTCTGCCTAATATAATGCTGGTCTGGAGGAAAATATCTCCATTTCTCTGGGCTGCAGGTATTTATTTGTACGAAGAGGTGGCTGGACAAGGTAATCACTGAGGTTCTTTAGTGATTCAAAAATGATTAGTCTCTGCTCTGTTTATAAACAAAACATGAACTCAATACACATGTGTTCCACCACCTGTAAATTCCTAACTAGCCACACATGCCGCCCTCCAGTGGAATTTCTGAATTATTTTATCCAAGAGTGTCCAGAAGGGCTGACACCGCCAGAGAGGCTTCTTCTGACTTACCTGTGTGGTAGGGCACTGCAGGGTAATCATCACGGAAGGATTGGTACAGCTTAGAATGTTGAAGTAAAACAAAATACTCTTGTTCCTGGTAAGAAAGAAAACAACACAAAATAATCTTTTTAATGACCATGGAATTGTTCCATATCATTTAAGACAACAAACACTTTTGATATATGACCTTTAAAAATGGGCTGCTTCTCCTCTAGATAGCTGTAATACATTCTGCAGCTTCCCTTTAAGATTTCAAACTTTCAAAGCATCACTTTGTAGTAGTAAAAAGTTGAAATAATCAAATTATTCATCAACAGAGGATTGATGAAACAAAGAATTATATATCCTTAAAGTGGAAGATTATGTTGCCATTAAAAACAATGTTAAAGAACACTTTTTGAATGGACAGAGAAATTCACAATACATTAGTTTTAGGAGGCAGAATACTAAAGAGTATTAAAATGTAATTTGATTTTAATTTTATAAAAACAGGTATAACCTGTAGAAACAAATTATATCTAAATGTTGGGATTGTATTTGGTTAATTTTGTGTATTTTTATGGATTTCTTCATATAAAATATGTATTACTTTGGCAATGTAAAAAAATAAACTGAGCGATATTTTCTCTCTCTTAAGAATTCTCGACAGTGGCAGAATAATGGGACAGGTTGGTATTCATTCTCAGTAGTTTTAAATGGGATTTCACTCTGCCATTTAGCAAGTCGTGGTTCTCTTTTGAATCTCAATTTCCTTATCAGTAAAATGAAGATAATACTATCATGGAGGCTAACACTCAAGGCAAGTGGTTGTCCAACTTTAGTATGCATAAGCAGAACCCAAAGTGTTTTGTTTTTTTTTTAAATTTCAAAATACTAGGGGGAGGGTTTTTGTAATGCTTAAGACCTGGCTATGGGTATGCCCATTACCCAAATAGTGTTCATAGTACCCATTAAGTTGATTTATTCCCCTCCATGCCTATCCATTCTCCCCCCACCTGCATTCTATTGAGTTTTATTTCTCTTTATGCACTTGCGTGCACATCAGTTAGTTCCAATTTAATAGGGAGTACACATGGTCATATGGTATTGGTTTTTCCATTCTTGTGACACTTCACTTAGGATAATGGTCTCCAGTTTCATCCAGACTGTTGCAAAAGGTATTAATTCATCTTTTTTATGGCTAAGTAATATTCCATGGTATAGCTATACCATATTTTATTAATCCACTCCTGAATTCAAGGGTGTGTGGGTTGATTCTACATTTTTGCAACTATGAACTGTGCTGCAATAAACATTTGAGTGCAGGTGTCTTCTCGATACAATGACTTCCTTTGAGTAAATACCTAGTACTAGAGCTGCTGGTTTGAGTGTTAGGTCTTCTCTTAGTGCTTTCTTTCCATACAGATTTTACTAATTTGCAGTCCCACCAACAGAGTATAAGCATTTTCTCTGCATCCGTGCCAGTGCCTATTGTTGGTGGGCTTTTTAATAAAGCCATTCTAACTGTAAGGTGATATTTCATTGTGGTTTTAGTTTGCATTTCCCAAGTGATTAGTGACATTGAGCATTTTTTCATATGTTTTGTGGCCATCTGTCTTTCTTCTTTTGAGAAGTTTCTGTTTATGTCTTTTGCCCACATTTTAATAGGATTGTTTGGGTTGTTTTTTTTTTTTTTCCTTGCTTATTTGCTTGAGTTCTTTATAAATTTGGGTTATGAGTCCTTTCTTGGATATGCAGCTTACAAATATTTTCACCCATTCTGTAGGTTGCCTATTTACTCTGTTGATTGTTTCTTTACCTGTGCAGAAGCTTTTTAACTTAGTGAAAGCCCATTTATTGATTTTGATTGTTGCCATGATTGCCATTGGGCACTTTTTCATAAATTCTTTGCCTAAGTTAATATCTAGAAGAATTTTTTCAATTTTTTCCTCTAGAACTCTTATGGTTTCATGTCTTAGCTCTAAGCCTTTTAAAACATGAATCTAGGCTTTTATATATGAATTAATTTTGTGAGACATGGTGTCCTGTTTCATTATTCTGCATGTCACTATCCACTTTCCCCAGCACCATTTACTGAATAGGGCTTTTGGTTTTCTGCTTTGTCATAGACCAATTGGTTGTAGGCAAATGGTTTCAACTTTGGGTTGTCTGTTCTGTTTCATTGCTCTATGTCTCTCTTTTTGTACTATTATCATGCTGTTTTGGTTACTATAGCTCTATAGTATAATTTGAAGTTTGGTAATGCGATGCCTCTAGTTTTGTTCTTTTTGCTTAAGATTGCTTTGGCTATGCAGGTTCTTTTCTGGTTTCAAATAAAGCATCAAAGTATGACTTTGGTAACTTGATGGGGATTGCACTGAATTTATAAATCACTTTGTACATTATGGACATTTTAACAACGTTGATCTTACTATCCATGAACATAATATGTTTTTCTATTTGGTTGTATCCTCTGTGATTTCTTTCCTTAGAGTTTCATAGTTCTCTTTGTAGACATCTTTAACCTTCTTGGTCACATATATTCCTAGGTATTTTGTTTCTTTCGTAGCTATTGTGAATGGTATTGAGTTTTTGAGTTGACTCTCAGGTTGACTGTTATTAGTATAGAGAAATGCTATTGATTTATGTACATTGATTTTATAACCTGAGACTTGGCTAACTTTGTTTAACAATCCCGGGAGACTCTTAGTTTGTCTAAATACAAGATCATATCATCAGCAAAAAGCAATAGTTTGACTTCATCTTTCTAAGTCTGGATACCCTTCTCTTTCTTCTTTTGTTTGATTGCTCTGGCTAGGACTTCCAACACTAGTAGGTGACAGTGGGGGCATCCGTGTATTCTCCCATTTCTTAGGGGAAATGTTTTCAACTTTTCTCATTCAGTTTGATGTTGGCTGTAGGTCTGTCATATATGGCTTCCATAATTCTGATATTTGTCTCTTCTATGCATAGTTTTTAAGGGTTTTTATCATGAAAAAGGATGCTGGATTTTGACAATTATTTTTCTTTATCTAGTGAGGTGCAAATTGTGACCTTATGTCACACCTTAAGGAACTAGAAAAGGAAGAACAAACCAAATGCAAAGTCAGCAGAAGAAAATAAATAACAAAAGTTAGAGCAGAACTAAATGATTTGCATAAGAGAAAAATGACAAATATAAAGGATTAACAAAAAAAGGTGGTTCTTTGAAAAGATAAACAAAAGGATAGACCTCTTGCTAAATCAACCAAGGACAGAAGAGAAAGGACCCACATAAGCTCAAGTAAAAATGAAAAGATTAGCCAGGTGTTGTGGCGGGTGGGTGCCTGAGAGAATCGCTTAAGCCCAAGAGTTTGAGATTGCTGTGAGCTGTGATGCCACAGCACTCTACTGAGGCAATATAGTGAGACTCTGTCTCAAAATAAAAAAATAAAAATGAAAAAGATGACATTACAACTGATACTGCAGAAATACAAAACATTATCCATGAATATTTCATTAATCCTTGTGCACAAAAACTAGAGAATGGGGAAGAAATACACGAGTTCCTGGAAAGACACAACCTCCTAAACTCAGGCAGGAAGATATATAACTCCTGAACAGATGAGTGATGATCTGTGAAATAAATCAGTAACAAAAGATCTCCTGACAAAACAAACAAACCAAACCAAACCCAACCTTAGACCCGATGGATTCACAGCTGAAATCTAATAGACCAACAAAGAAGATCTGGTATCTGGCTTGGTGCTCGTATCTTAGTGGTTAGAACAACGGTGACATACACCGGGGTTGGTGGGTTCAAACCCAGCTCAGGCCTGCTAAACAACAATGACAACTACAACAACAATAACAACAAAAAATGGCCAGGCATTGTGGCGACTATAGTCCCAGCTACTTGGGAAGCTGAGGCAAGAGAACTGCTTCAGTCCAAGAGTTTGAGGTTGCTGTGAGCTGTGATGTCACAACACTTTACTGAGTACTGAGGGCAACATCATGAGATCCTGGCTCAAAAAAAAATATCTGGTATCCTCTGTATCCATAATACAGAAATTATTCCATAATATTGAGAAGGAGGAAGTCTTTCACAACTTATTCTATGAAGCCAGTATCACCTTGATACCAAAGCAAGGAAAAAACATAACAATAAAAGAAAACTGTGAACCAATATTTCTTATGAATGTAGATGGGAAAACCCTCAGTAAAATACTAGCAAACCAAATTCAACAGCACATCAAAAAAATAATCCACCAGGACCAAGTGGGATTCATCCTAGGCATGCAAGGATGGTTTGACATATGTAAATCAATAAATATCATTCAATAGATAAATAAAAGAAAAACTAAAACCTGAAGTGCTTGTTGAAAATCTTCATTTCTGACCCTCAACCCTCAAATCCCCAGATATCTAGATATGGGGCCCAGGAATTAGCAGCTCTTCCCCTAATCTCCCTAGTGGACTCACATGAAGAAAGTCTATAAGCCAAATTTTAAGAAACACAGCCCTAAATACTCAAGAAGAATATTTCCCGGCACCTTGTCAAGTCCCCAATTAATGCATGTTAATTAATGTGACTACCTGCATAGCATAAAATGTATGATGGGCCATTGAGTAGTTGTGCTTTTCCTACTAATTCTGAATCAGTATGTAAGACACAAATTTAAGGGTAAAGAAAGCCTTTTACAAAAAACTTGTTCTAGGTCCTTCCATTGTTACTATCCCCTTCCTGCCCTAACTACACAAGCAAAAGCTGGGAGCAGAAAGATGAGTTAGAGCCAGTGCAGTTGGCAGGATGCAATGATGCTCATTAAAGAGACTCTCTCACAGAGATGGAAAGTGCCAGTAAGAAGAGAAGCCAACATCTTATTTTCTAATTGAAGATTTCTCTCACAGCAGACCAGCTAGTCAGACCCCTGCGCCCAACAGAGCAAGGAGAAACAAGAGAGTCGAAAAGTGCCAGTGGGATGGAAAGAGGGCAGGGGCAGTGCAGCCTGTGATGGCAGGACATGTGGTCCACAACTGACCTGAGCCTCCCTGGTGGTGCAGTAAAAGGCTGCAGAGATGAATCGACAGGGGTGGAGTTGGAAGAGTTCAGAAGAGAGCACACAAACACTGATC